GATTATGTACACTACCAGGGCACTTTGAATGTGTTATGTAAGTTTTATACAATGTCATGTATAAAAACACAGCAGAAATTCGTGGAGACTGTGTTCTAGTTGGATCTCTGGAGATAGCCTATCTACAGATCAAATTTAGAGGGAAAAATTAAACAGCCAGAGTAAACATAAGGCATGTTAGGGAAACCCCACTAGTTTCATGTGCCTTTGGCTTAGGGCATTTTCTTGAAGTTGGGAGGTGGAATTACCAGGACAAATAAGTTGAGACTAGTTTTGCTAGTATTTTAAATGCTATTCAGAGGCCTTCATTTGTATGCCACAGTACAGAGCTCTTTTTCAAACAGGCCAGTGACAGAATCAGCTATGTTTTAGGGACATCATTCTATGGTGATAGTAAATAAGGAGATCTGTAAAGGTGACATTGAAAAGACTTTGTGAGAGAGCTGATAGGAACTTGAAGTGGAGTATTAACCAAGGTAATCAAGGACAAACAAAGTAACACACTGAGAGCCTTGCTGTATGCAGACTTCTGGTGTGGTGCTTTAGTTAGTTACCCGATTTCACACCGAGCCAGAACTGAGGCTCAAATCCCATGCAGCTCACTGAGGTTGACACAGCTGCGCAGTGGCGGCCAGCCTTCCATCAGATTCCTCTCACGCTGAAGGCCATGCTTTTCTTACTGCACAGCACTGCTTTCCAGTGTAAACAGATTGTACAACTCATTTGGCTGCCTGAACTTTGGTGTTAAAGTGCTCTTTGCATCTTGCTTCTAGGCTAGGAAAGCGATGAAACACATTTTCATTTGGTCCGTTTGTTCCTTTACCAGATTCTGCGGCATGAGGAATTTGAAGAAGGCTGCAAAGCTGCCTGTAATGGGTATGACACCTTGTTTCTTCTCAAAGTCTCCTTTAGGCTCTGAATTACCCTAGAGAATCAGAAGACAGTTTCTTAAAGTGAGTACAATGCAGTGGAATCCTGTGGAACAATAAATTAGGGGAGCAACATCAGGAGCACAAATAAATAAATGCTCTGCATGAAATAAAGCCTGTCGAATATCTTTTAAGCTTCATAGCCATGGCAAGCTAGAAAACTCCAAGGGAATGGCATTGTCTATTAATTGATAAGCCAAAAAAATTAACTAAGGTTGGATTGGAGAACTGTGTTGATAATGTTCCGTCACCTGCTTTAAAGAAATTGTGTAGGGCCTGGAGTAGGTGCCCTCAGGTGACTGTCACTGAATCCTGACATTAAAGGGCCCACAGGCTTTGTCCACAGTTTCTCTCAGAACCATTTGAGGGCTATCTCATCCTTATGGGGACTTAGGCCTAGTGCCTATCTCTGAGCCCATTAGTTTTTTGGGGGAGGCCTAAGACTGGTTTTGCCTATGGTCACAGGGTTCATTTACTTTCATTTTTCTAGGCCTTATGATGGGAAATGGAGTAAAACAATGGTGGGATTTGGACCTGAGGATGATCACTTCGTTGCAGAACTAACTTACAATTATGGCATCGGAGACTACAAACTTGGCAATGACTTCATGGTAACTATCATGTTGTTCCAGCAGATTTCTAACCAGCGCTTTCATTGAGATCACTAGTGCCATTTTGAATGTGATGACTAACTACTGACTTGATGACTTTTGGGTGTAATTTAGTGGTTATTTTTGTGATATTTTTCTGTTAGAACAGGGAAAAAAAGGATAACTTGAGCCTCCTTGGCTCTGGATGAAACGTGTCCTCCCAGTGTTTGGAGTCCAGCATAAGACTTGGAGAGAGCTTTGTAGGAGATGAGATTTCTCTAGGGCAGGGGTAGGGAATGTCCAACAGGTAGGCTGTATAAGGCCCTGCCAAGGCAACAACAGTTCCAGCCATCACGTTAAAGATGAGTTAATGAAATGTTTAACCAAATGTGGCAGGCTAGCTTTTAAGGTCATAGTTTTGTATGACCCTTGAATAATGTTAAAAGTTTTGGTAGAAAAAAGGTTCCCCACCCCTGCACTGGGGGAATGACCAGGAGGTTGGGGAGCCAGGGATGTTGATCTGTTACAGTCTTGATCAGCAGACAGAATGTTCTCTCACTAGTTGACAGTTCGGCTTGCCAAGCCTGGGCTATTATGACCATTCCCATTCAGAAAAACTCTGAAATTGTTAATGATAAACAGTAGTTGAAGGTATTATATGCACTACATTCATTCATCTGAGGATCACTGGTAGCGTAGTGGTTACGAATCAGGCTGTGAACCTTAAGGTCAGCAGTTCGAAACTCTCAGCTGTTCCGCGGGAGAAAGAAGAGGCTTTCTGCTCCCGTAAAGATTTACAGCCTCGGAAATCCTGTACAGGGTCACTATGGGTCAGAACCGACTCCATGGCACATAACCACCTCCAATCACCGCCACCACATTCATTCATCATAAAGTGATTGTAGACTTATGATGGTAATAATATCTACTATTTATTGAGTAGTTTTTGTAAATATCAGGTAAAACTGTTTTGTAGATGGTAAGGATTGTTAGTAATAATGTATTAGTATACTTATTTTTTCTCTTGTTAACAGATACTTAATGTGACTTGCTCTGTGCTAAACACCTTGTTAGGCCCTAGGACCCAACAGAGAATAAAGCATGTTCCTTGACCATAAGGAGACTTGTCTGGTGGAGGAATCAAGTAAAGGGACAATGAGAGCTCATGGCAATAAGTGCTAAGATCAGGATATGAGCTGTGGTGTGGTAATCCGGAAGAGGTATGCTTCGAGAGGTGAGAGTTCAGGGAAAGCTTCCTAGAAGTAACATCTCCACCTGGTTAGGAGTTTGTGTGGGAGGTGAGAGTCATGTTCTTGGCATGCACAAAGGCTCTTGAGGGGTGAAGGAAGATGTGAGCAACCTAGTGGAGCTGAAACTTAAGTGTATAAGGAATGGGTGGATATCGTTGAGCCTGGAGAATTCAGTAGGGGCTCTATCACACAGGGTCGCTATGGGTCAGAACCGACTCGACGGCATACAATAACAACCTATCACCCAGGGCTTTGAGGTCATAGTTGGACATTTAAACAAAAAAAAATCAGTCATTGAAAAAGCTATGCAATAGAGTTGTGTTCTGACACACATGGGTTTGGAATGAGTTTAATGACAACAGTGAAGCTACTTCTCATTTTAAGCAGGGGACTGTCATAGTATTTATGGTCTGCAAGGCTCAGCCTGACTAGCACAGGGAGATTGGCTTGGATGGGATCAAAACTGGAAGTGAGAAAACAATTTCAAAAGCTAATGCAGTAAGAGACCAGCAGCTCCTTAACCAAGGTAGTGGCAGTGACACGCAGAGTAGGGAATGCACTGGAAAGATGCTGAAGAGTTAGAGGTGACTGGGTTTGGTGCTTGAGTGTAGGTAAGAGTGTCTGTGTGTTTCTCTTTTTGTTTTTTCTTTATGTTCCAAATTTAAGTTAGGGAGAAAAAAAAAAAGTGGAAGTTAGTCAGAAGCAGGGAGATTATTCTATGCAAACAGTATAAATGACTCGAACAAAAGAGCTGGGAACCTGAAAACCATTCATGGGGTGGAGCACAGAGTTGAAGTGGGAAGACGTTTAAAATGAGGCTGTTGTGTGTCATCCAGTCAGTTCCAACTCATCATAGCCCTCTGTAGGGCGTCCGAGGCTATAAATCTTTATGGGAGGAAAACCTTATCTTCTCCGGACCAACTGCTGGATTCAAATTGCTGACCTTGCAGTTAGCGGCCCAACACGTAAGCCAGTGAACGACCACAGCTTCTGTAGAACAAGGCTAGAGAGAAGTGTATGAGCACCAGGTCCATAAGAGCCTTATTGGTTGAGTTTGGAAATTATCCAGAGGGCAGTAACGAGCTAAAAAAGACTTTGAAGCATGATGTAAAGTGATCAGATGTATACTTTGGAGAGTTTACTCTAGCTGCAGAGTGGATGGTGTTTTGGCAAGACTGAAAGCACAAGAGGATGTTACCCAATGTAGAGATGAAACTGCCCTTATCACCAGGCTTAACAAAAGTGTGTGTATATTTAGGTACTTAGATCAAATTGCAAAACTATTTTGATAGCATAATCATGTAAAAATAAAAACAAAACATCTCAATGTATGGTCAGAATTTCTCATGACTTCAGAACAGTCAACTATACAAGGTTAAAAGGGCAACATTTGCTCAGGGATGAAGGTCAGAAGGCAGGAAGGAACAGGAAAGCACACGGGCAAATGGTGACTACAGGAGGAAGTGGGAAGCTTGCTCAGGCATTATGGGGATCACAAAGCAATGTCACAAAACAAAATGTGTACCATACGAATTGTTGAATAGAAACCAATTTGCTCTGTAAACTGTCCCCAAACCACAATTAAAGAAAAAACTAAATCTGCTATTGAAAACCCTATGGAACATATTTCTGCTCTGACACGCTTGGGGTCACTCAAGGGCAACTGGTTTTACTCCGTAATTAAAAGAGAAAACACAGTCATCAGTTAAAGTTGAAACAAAGTTCATATTACTCAAGGAAGCTCTAAATGATGATGGTGGAGGTGTGCCATGGAGTTGGTTCGGACTCATAGCGACCCTGTACAGGGTTTCTGAAGCTGTACATCTTTACAGGAGCAGAAAGCCTCATCTCTCTTCCATGAAATGAAATTGGTGATTAAGACCTCTTAAATACTGAGTTTTTAAAACTGTTATGCAGCATTCTGTTAAAATCACTAAGGCCATTGTTACCTGTTGAGTGCTGTTGAGCAGATTCTAACTCAATGACTTTATAGAACAGAGTACAACTGCCCCATAGGGTTTCCAAAAACATTTTGTATTTTTCCTGTAGCTAGATCTTTAAAATTTAGAGAGATTCTCTTTGGTTAAATGAATAAAAACATCACTGACATTTTAATTTCTGTTCTTCATAAATTTATGATTCATGAAAGTTGGAATCTTCCTGGGGGTAAAAAATATCTAAAGCGTACTTTTAAATCACTAGAAGAAAATTTTGAGTGCCAATGAAATTTTAGGTAAAGTGACCTAAAGGCAGTGGGGTTTTACCTCATCGTCTTGTTCTGTAAAAGACCTGTCACAGCATGCAGTAACACATTGGTGATCTTGTTCTTTGCCATAGGGCATCACACTTGCCTCTAGCCAGGCTGTCAGCAATGCCAGGAACGTGGAGTGGCCACTCAGAAAAGTTGCCGAAGGTGTTTTTGAAACCGAGGCCCCAGGAGGATATAAGTTCTATTTGCAGAATTGCAATCTACCTCAGTCAGGTAATTATACTGGGATTCATAAAAGCTCTGTCTAAAGGCTTCTTGTTGAAATGAGAGAGGGAATGGACGTTTTTCCTCTGGAAGAGCCTGTTTATATTGAAACGCCATGTCCTTCCTGTGCCAGTGTTTTTATCTCTTCTCTGAGAAATGATATTCTCATCTCAGAACTTTGATTCTGAGGCTTCTCAGTGGTTCTCTAATGTGTCTATTTAGGGTTCTTTCAGCTGTAAATACCAGATAACCCAACTCAAACGACTTTCAACAGTAAGAAAATGTTCTAGCTCACAGAAAAGGACCTGTGTGCTAGGGAACCTCACGAAGTTAGCTAATTCAGCAATGGCATCCAGAGCCCCTCCTTGTGTTCTCTTGCTTGACATTCGTAGAGCTAGCTCCTCATGGCTGTAGGAGAGCCTCCACTAGCAGGTACGGCTCCTGCTTTTACACGCAATCTGGCGAGGAGGAGAGACTGACTTTCTGTTGCTCTGTTTGTAAAAGCAGAGCAACACTTTCCTAGAGCTTTCTACCAGCCTTCCGGGTTAGCCTGGATCCATTTCCCTGCTTCTCAACCAATCACTGGCAAGAGAAATAAGATTCCCCTTAGATCAGTTGATACTCACTGGATGCTAACCACAAGGTCAGCAGTTCAAACCCACCCACCACTCCTGGGGAGAAAAATGAAGCATTCTTCTCCTGTGAAGATTGGCAGCCTCAGAAACCCTGTATAGAGTCGCTATGAGTCAGACCAGTGGCAGTCAGTGAGACCAGCCTGGAGCTGAGGGCAGTTTCCCAAGCGGCAGTGTTGCTGGCAGTCAGTGAGTGGGAAGTGGAGTGGAAGTCAGGAGGTCATCACACTGGCTGCCCAGGTGACAGGAAACTTGACAGGGAGTGTTTTGCTTATTACATAGGTATCTCCTGCTTTTCAAAAGTTCGCTTTATACCACTTCACTTTTAAGAAAGACCTGCATTAGTACCTGTTTTCACTAAGCAAAAGAAATCCAAAGAAGATTTTTGCTTTAATAAAAAAGGCAAAAAGTGAAGCTAGCATTCAGCATTTATTTGACAGCAAGCTGGTAACGAGGTTGCATGCTTCCCAGGCTCTGAGAGGGGCGTCCCTAGCTCCTCCCCTGGGAACTACACTGTCCATACATTAGTTCTACTTTATATACATGTTGTTGTTAAGTGTCATCGAGTCGGTTCCGACTCAGAGGTTGCTATGAGTATAGGGTTTCCAAGGAGCAGCTGGTGAGTTTGAACCACCGACCTTGTGGTTCAAAGCCACCTTGCGATCTAGTGCATTATCCTGCAGCGCCACACCATGTTTCCACTTTGTATATATAAGCTGTGTATATATCATCTCATTCTTAACTTTCACTATGTGGTAGTATTATTTTGAGCCTTGTATTTTGTGGCGCTGCAGGATAAACACTGGACTGCTAACCACAAGGCCAGCAGTTCAAACCCACCAGTCACTCTCAGAAACTCTATGCAGGGTCACTATAAGTTGGAACTGACTCAAGGACACAACAACAGTATTATATTAGATTTTATTTGGTATGGTTTAGTAAGTTATTTTTGGTGTCTGGAAACATTGTATATTTTTATCCCCCACATAATGGCTTTACTCCATTTAGGCTTCATAGGATTGCTCTACTTTTGGATAGTGGGGGAAACCAGTAGCATTTGCTTACTGAAAATTCTGCCTACCCTGCCAACAAAAACAAAAGCAAAAATTAATAATTCTGATGAATAGCAAGGGTAGTTCTGCCTGCCATCTTACTCAGTGAACAACTGCTCCTAAGTGGCCCTCAAATGGGCGATTATGAGGGAGCTTTGAAAAGTTCATGGAAAAACACCAATATCTTTTCATTCCATTTTTCCAAGAATTTTTTGAAGCCCCTTTTTTCCTGCACTGGTGAGACTTGGACCTCAAATGTCCCTCAAGCTAAGTCTGGCTTAATGCTATGTCTTTTTTATCTGGTCCTCAGCAAAAGAAACAGCAACCCATTCTAATGGGGAAGTATATGGAACTTACTGGGGTGTTGTCTTTCTATACTTTACTGGTGATACAAGGGATTTTTATGGTTATTTTTGATGATAAGTGATGGTTGCTTTACATACTTGCTTTTTAAGACTTGACACCAACAACTTACTCTGCTGTCATTTCCCCCCTACTCTTAGTGGGATTTCAATACCTAAAACATGAGGAGTTGATGGGAGTTCTTGCTTCAGGGATACTGAGTGTTTTTTTTTGGGTGGTGATGAAAAACTTTTGGAAACAGATAGTAGTGATGGTTGCAAAACTTGGTGAATGTAATTAACATCACTGAACACTTTAACCTGATTGAAATGGCAATTTCTTGTTTCTATACAAGAGGGCTTCAAAAAGTTCATGGGAAAATTCCATTATCTTTTCATTCCATTTTCCCCCAAACTCTTCAAACCTCCTTTGTACATTTTACCACATAAAAAATGTTTAAAAATACTTAAATCAGTAATCAGCCCCACAATCTTAAGGTATTTTTGTCCTTTGGAATGATAGTTCCAAAATTTATCAAATTGTCAATTTTAAGCTCAGAACAGGCCTTCTGAAATCCCTATGTTGTTGTTGTTATGTGCCATGGAGTCAGTTCCAACTCATAGCGACCCAGTACAGGGTTTCCGAGGCTCTAAATCTTTACGGGAGCAGAAAGCCTCATCTTTCTCCTGCAGAACAACTGGTAGTTTCGAACTGCTGACCTTCAGGCTCGCAGCCCAATTCGTAACCACTACGCTACCAGAGTTGTTTCCCAGAATGTTGAATATTTTTAATACAACTTTTATTCTTTGTGTAAATCATTTTTTTTTCTAGGTACATAAGCAAAAAATATAAAGGCAACAGCACTCATATATATCCAGAGATAACTGCATGTTAACTTTGTAGAGTCTGTCTTTTCTGTCTTTTTTCGAAAGAAACAAGTAGATTCTTATTCCAGTGTAAAGATTCCATTGTACATTGTATAGCCTTGTAGGCGTATAAACAATTCTCTGGTGTTACAGATTTATGTTTTCTAGTATTTCATTGTTATAGACAGTGCTATGATGAATGTCTTTGTGTTGAATGCCCGCCACTTATCCACGGTTATTTCTCTTATAACTCTTTCTAAAACAATGGTCATTTTTTGAGAAACTTTATTTTGTTATTGTGGTTGAGAATATACACAGCAAGACAACCTAGTTCAACAGGTACCGTTTAGTGACATGGTGATGTTCTTTGAGTTGTGTGACCATCGTCACCCTCTTATGTAACTGACAGACATTCACTGCTCCGATCCCATGTACATAGTTCTTAAAGAACCATAATGCTCAAGCAGACATTCTCTACTGGTCAAGCTAAACTATTACTTATGTTTAATAAGAGATTATTTTGATTTAAGCTTTAAAGATTATCTCAGGGCAGTAGCTTCAGGGTTTCATCCCGTTTTCATGGCTCCAAAAAGTCTAGAGTCTGTGAGAATTTGAAATTCGCTTCTGTATTTCCTCCTTTCAGTATTCTTCTGTAGAACCTTTGATGAAAATGTTCAGTAATGCTAGTCAAACACCATCTAGTTCTTCTGGTCTTCTTGCTCAAGAGAGCAGTTCCCCTCACTTGGTGTTTGTCATTCCTTGCTCTGTTGCTCCAGGTGAATAGAGACCAGTTGTGTCACAATTGGGAGGTAGAACAGAAGCACTAAACCTATGATTAGTCCAGTTAATTGGCATGTGGCGTGTCCCATGAAACCATGATCCTAAATCTCCAAATCAAGGAACCAAACCTCATGAGGCATTTGGTTGCATATAAGCAGCCTCATTTTTTTTTTTTTTTTGGTCATTGTAAGTACGAGTATATTTATGATAGAGCTTTTGCCATTTTAACTTTTTACAAGTGTCTGATCTACTGACATCAATTACAACAATTGACTTTGCACCCCTACCCTTTATCAATGCTATATTTCTATCATTGTTTACCTCCCCTTTCCCCTCCCTGGTTCCTGACACATTTTGTTTTTTATACATTTGCTTTTTTTGTGTGTGTGTTTATTTATATATATATGCATGCTCCTTGGAAACTGTACAGGGTCGCTATTGGTCGGAATCGACTCGACGGCACTTAACAACAGCAATAAATATATATATATATACACACACAATATACATAATATATATACTATATATATATATATATATATATACAAATGAGGTCATCCAATATTTGTATTTTTATGATTGACTTATTTCACTCAGCATCTGATATTCATTTTTGAGGCTTTTCATACATGTTTTCAAATTGTTACTCAGAAATGTTCTAATTTATATTCTACTACTGTAGTGGTTCCTTGGAAACCCTATATAGGGTCGCTGTGGGTCGGAATCGACTTGACGGCACTTAACAACAACAGCTGGACTGCAAGGCCAGTTTGAACTGCAAGGTTGGTGGTTCAAACCCACCAGTCCCTCCTTGGAAACCCTACACAGGGTCACTATGGGTCAGAACCAGCTCGACGGCACTTAATGACAACGGTATCATAAAAATTATATTTGATTATAATTTTTTTTCCCTGCAATATCATTGACATTGTGTTAGCTTTAAAAATTATTTGCCAAATGTTGTTGTTTGCTGTTTTTAGGTACCCTCAAGTCAGTTCCAACTTACAACAAACCTGTGCATAATACAATGAAACAGTCCTGCGTCACCCTCACGATTGTTATGCTTGAACCCACTGCTGCTGCCACTGTGTCAATCCATCTGATTGGGTCTTCCTCTTTTTCATTGACCCTCAACTTTACAAAGCATCATGCTCTTCTCCAGGGGCTAGTCCCTCCTGATAATGTGTTCGAAGTATGAGAGGTAAAGTCTAGCCATCCTGGTTTCTAAGGAGCATTCTGACTGTACTTCTTCCAAGATAGATTTGCTTGGTTTTCTAACAGTCCACGGTACTTTTGGAGTCCTGGTGTGGCACTGTGGGTTAATGCACCAGACTGCAAAGCCGTTTGAACGGCAAGGTTGGCAGTTCAAGCTCACCAGCTGCTCCTTGGAAACTCCATACAGGGTCGCTATGGGTCAGAAACAACTCGACGGCTCTTCACAACAACAACATGGTACTTTATATTATCCTCCAACACTGTAACTCAAATGCATCAGTATCTTCCATATTCACTGTCCAGGTTTCAAATGCCATTTTGAAAATACCATAGCTTGGGTCAGGTACACCTTAGTCCTCAAACTGACATTTTTGCTCTTAAGCACTATAAAGAGATCTTGTGCAGCAGATTTGCCTAATACAATATAATTTCTTGACTGCTGTTTCCATGAGTGTTGATAGTAGATCCAAGAAAAATGAAGTCTTTGACAGCTTCAATCTCTTCTCCATTTATCAGGATGTTATTTATTGATCCAGTAGTGAAGATTTTTGTTTTCTTTATATTAAGTTGCAACCCATACTGAAAGCTGTAGTCTTTGCTCTTCATCAGTAATATTTTAAGTCCTCTTCTCTTTCAGCAAACAAGGTTGTATCATCTGCATATTGCAGGTTGTTACTGAGTCTTCCTCTAATCCTGATGCCACATTTCTTCATATAATCCACTTTCTCAGATTATTTGCTCAGTATACAGATTGAATAAATATGGTAAAAGAATGCAACCCTGACGTGCACATTTCCTGATTTTAAACCATTTAGTACCCTTTGTTCTGTTCGAACAACTGCTCTTAGTCTATGTACAGGTTCCCCATGAGTACTACAATTAAGTATTCTGTAATACCCATTCTCCGCAATGTTATCCACAGTTTGTCATGATCCACATAGTCAAAAGCCTTTGCGTAGTCAATAAAGCCCTTGTTTCTGCTTTTGACAAGTTTGATTATGTTATTTCTTTTGGGATCTATCCTGTTTGGGGTTCATTCAGCTTCTTGTCTGCTTTTCTCATCATTCATGTGCCTTTATCTTATTTTTCTACCATGTTTTTCTTTTTCCTATTAATGTCCTTATTAAGGACAGGCACTTTTTGTCTCATTTGTTGAAAAAAAATTTTTCTTGCTTTTTTGTTTGTTCTTTAGTTTGTTATAAACTTTGTTGTTGTTGTTTTCAGTATAGAACTTTTCAATTTGGTTTACTTAACCTAGCAAACGCTTTCCTTCATGGTATTTCTATCTTTGAAATCGGGCTTACTGGAATATCTTGACTCATTCCAAATGAAATAATCATCTGTGTTTAGTATTTTCATGATTTTATTCTTGAAATTGAATCCTTTAGCCCATCAGGAAAATATAAAGATGTAATTCCCCAATGACTAGCAAGTGTTCTAGAATCATTTGTTGAATGCGTGCTTCCCTACCAATTTAAAAGTCCCTCCTTTTTTTTCTCTCTTACTTTTGTAAATAGCATGGTGTACATAGCAGATCAGTTTTCCATTTGTGAATTCATACACATTTTTTATGACATTATGCAGTATCCTCAGTGTAACATCACTTATCCTCCTTCCTCCCTGTGTTTTCTGTTTCCATTCTTCCTTCTTTCCTAAAAGTTATGAACTTTGTCCTTGGATAAATGTCACCCTTTTAATCTCAAATGGTTGGTGATTCAAAGGTGTGCAGACTTCCATCGTGTTCTTGTTTTCCTTGTAAACCTGTCTGGTGTTTGGCTGAAAACTGAGGGTGAGTTCATTTCCAGACCTGAACAGTGACTAATAGCCACGGGTCTCCCAGATTCCACCAGTAAGCTGGTTTCTTTTTATGATTTTGAACTTTGTTCCACATTTTTTACCCACTCACTCTGGACCGTCTAATGTGATCCTTTTCAGAACAATTGGCAGCTGGGCACCATCTAGTTTTTGTGGCCTCAGGGTTGCAAAAACTGATGTTCACATGATCTGTTAGTCCATCTTATTAATTCTTTCCATACAATTGATTGTTGTTGTTAAGTACTGTTGTTGTTGATTGTTGATTGTTGTTGTTAAGTACTGTTGAGTCAGTTCCAACTCATAACGACCCTGTATAGGGTTTAATTAAAATCCCTGTAATAAACTAAATTCTGAAGTGCTGTTGAATCCGTTCTGACTCAGAGCGGTGACCCTGTCTAGGGTTTCTGAGGAGTGGCTTTGAGTTTGAACTTCTGATCTTGTGATCCAAACTGACCTTGTGGTCCAGCGCATTCTTAATGTATGCTTGAGTTTATTTTGAGCTTTCTCTTCTATCACATTGTGTTATCTTGTGTGCTCCTGCTAACTCTCTTTATACCTTGTAGATTGTGTTTTAAAAGTTACTCTAGCAGTGTCTGATCTGCAGAAGTCCTTGAACTACTGGTCTAATCTACTGGGAATGAAAATCTATGAAAAAGATGAACAGAAGCAAAGGGCTTTACTGGGCTATGCTGACAACCAAGTGAGTGATATCTGAGAGCATTAACCCATTATGTTGAATTTGGTGGCATGGTGATGAAGTGCGTGGCTGCTAACTGAAAGGTCGACAGTTCAAACCCACCAGTCACTGCACTGACGAAAGATGTGGCAATCTGATTCCATAAAGATTACCGTCTTTGGAAACCCTGTGGCACAGTTCTGCTTTGTCCTACAGGGTCATGATGAGTTGGAATCAACACAACAGTCTGGGATTTTGAGTTTGACATAAGTAAGGTTAACTTAAAGGTTATTCCCATAGTTTCTTCAGAGTAACTCAGTGTTTATACAGATAAAGCAGAAAGGACAAAATAAAAGCTACTGACTGATAGCCTCACTCCACAGATACGCCATTATTTATACATGGGGACAGATCCTTTCATAAGTGGGCTTGCTGAGTCAGAAGAGAGAATGATAAAATTTCATGCTGATCATTTCATCTTAAAAATAATAAATAACCTAATATTTGCATATGATTTAGTCCTTGCCCTTTGCCCCAGTGCTTCAACCCATAGGGGTTTTATAGGGATATGCACGCATGTCTTTCACAAGGAAGTGTGTACAGGGGTGTTATCATTTGCAGCATTGTTTCTAATAGCAAAGTATTAGAAATAAATGTTCTGTGGCTTTGAGAAATAGATAATTTAAGGTTCATTCATAGAATGCTGCTATCAAAAAGGACGAGGCCTTATCCACTGATGTGGTAATAGTTAACTGAAGAAAAGCCAAGGACAGAATAATGTGTAAAGGATGTGTGTGGGAGCGAGTTCCTGAAAATATGACTGTGTTTGGAGAGATACACAGTTCACTGGTTGCCTCTAGGGTGAGAATAGGGCAGAGATTTAATGCTCACCTTATTCCATTAGTAATAAACCCACTTCTTATTTATTTTTAGTGTAAGCTGGAGCTAAAGGTTATCAAGGGTACAGTTGATCATGCCGCAGCTTTTGGAAGAATTGCCTTTTCATGCCCCAAGAAAGAGGTAATGTTTGGTACCAGATCTTTTTTGCAACTTTTTATTGTGAATTGAGTGAAGGTTTACAGACAGGATCATCAGTTTTACATCTATCAACCCATACACTTCATCTCAATGATTGCAGTCCCCTCCATTAACCACAGCTATCCACTTCCTCCCTGTGGTTCTTATTTCCCTTCCACCCTCCTCCCTATCCCTTCTCAATTTTGTCCTTAGGTAAATGTTGCCCTTTTGATCTTGAATGATTGACCATTCCTGGCACCAGATCTTTTGTTAAGTTCTGTGACTACCTAGTTCAGCCCAACTCAGTCCCTTGGCCCTCCCTCCTGGTTCATTCTGATTGTGACTTTGGTATCAAGTTCAACAGTTGTCGCAAGAGTAACGGAGATAATAAAGTCACACAAGTGGCACCTTGATTCTTTCTGATTGCTTTGATACTTCTCATTAGTGAGAACCATGCCTGACCCTTAGCTCACTTTGCTTTTTTTGTTTTCCTCAAGCTGCCAGACATAGAAGACTTGATGAAAAGAGAGAACCAGAAAATTCTGACTCCTCTGGTGAGTCTAGATACCCCAGGGAAGGCAACAGTACAAGTGGTCATTCTGGCCGACCCTGTAAGTATTACTCAGTAAAAGTACAGCCTGCCCCAGGGGTTTCTTCTGAGGTATCTTCTTGCCAAATGTCTTTTCTCTGTTGATACAGGATGGGCATGAAATTTGCTTTGTGGGGGATGAAGCATTTCGAGAACTTTCCAAGATGGATCCAGAAGGAAACAAACGATTGGATGAGGTGGGTCTTGTTCCCAACTTTGCATAAGGGACGGGCCAAAGCAACAGACTCTAAGTCCTTATTGTCAGATCTTGTAGTTTTGCTGTTGAGAAGACTTTTGAGTCAGGGATTTATGTCTTCATTGTCACCTGTATGATGCTTTATCTAGGCTCAGCACTTGTGCCTTCCCACCACATCAGGCTGCATTGGGGAACCACTGTTCTTGTTGGCTGTTAAATGCCACCAACTTAGTTCTGACTCTCAGCAATCCTGTACACAACAGAACGAAACACTGCCTGGTTTTGCGCCATCCTCACAATTGTTATACTTGAGCCCACTGCTGCTGCCACAGTGCCAATCCATCTCATTGGGGGTCTTCTTTTTCACTGACCATCCACCTTTCCGAGTATGATGTTTTTCTCCAGGTACTGGTCTTTCCTGATAACATGTCTGAAGTATGAGAGACGAAGTTTTGCCATCCTAGCTGTATTTCTTCCGAAATAGATTTGTTTGTTCTTCTGGAAGTCCATGGTATTTTAAATATATAACTCAAATGCATTAGTTCTTCTACAGCCTTATGTATTGCCCAACTTTCACATTAATGTGAGCCTATTGAAAATACACTTTACGGAAATCGTGTGCAGCAGATTTAATACTCATTTTTATGTCGTTTAATTTCTAAATGACTGCTTCCCTGAGTGTTGATAGTGGATCTAAGCAAAATGCAGTCTTTGACAACATCAGTCTTTTCTCTGTCTATCTTGATGTTTTTTATTGGTCCAATTGTGAGGATTTTTGTTTTATTTACATTGAAATGCAATCCATACAGAAGGCTGTAGTCTTTAATATTCATCATTAAGTATTTTAAATATTTTTCAATTCCAACAAGCAAGATTGTATCATCTGTATATTGCAGGTTGTTAATTAGTCTTCTTCTAATTCTGATGCCATGTTCTTCATATAATCCAGCTTCTTAGATTATTTGCTCAGCATAACAATTTAATAAGTATGATGAAAGAATATAACCCTAATGCACATCTTTCCTGATTTTAAAGCATTCCGTATCCTCTTATTCTGTTTGAAAAACTGTTTCTTGGTCTTTGTATAGGTTCCTCATGAGCATAATTGTCCTGGAATACCCATTCTTCACAATGTTGTCCATAGCTTGTCATGATCCACACAAACGAAAGCCTTTGCATAGTCAATAAAGCACAAATAAACATCCTTCTTGTATTCTCTGCTTTCGGTCAAGATACATCTGACGTCAGCAATGATAGTCCACATTCCACATCCTCTTCTGAATCCGATTTGAATGTTTGGACGTCCTCTGTTGGTGTACTATTGCAAATGTTCTTTAATTCTCTTCAGCATATTTTACTTGCCTGTGATAGTAATGATATTGCCCAATGATTTCTGCATTTGATTGAGTCATGTCTCTTTGGAATGGGCAGAAATATAGATCTCTTCCAATTGTTAGGCAAGGTAGCTGTCTTCCAAATCTGTTGGCATTGATGAGTAACGCCTCTAGTGCTTTCTCAGTTTGTTGAAGTATTTCAGTTTGTATTCCATCAATTCCTGGACTTCCTCATTCACTACCACTGGTTCTTGAGCATATACTACCTCTTGAAATAGTTGGATATAAACCATTTATTTTTGATACACTGACCTTGTATATACTTTCCAGCTCCTTTTGATGCTTTCTGCATCATTCAATATTTTACCCATAGAATCCTTCAAAATTGTAAGCCAAGGCTTGAATTTATTATTCAGTTCTTTCAGCTTGAGAAATGCTGAGCATGTTCTTGCCTTTTGATTTTCTAACTCTAGCTCTTTGCACATTACATTAAAATACTCGACTTTGTCTTCGTGAGCTGCTCTTTTACCTCCTCATTTCTTTCATTTGCTTTAGCATCTCTACACTGGAGAGCAAGTTTCAGAGACTCTTCTAACATACGTTTTGGTCTTTTCTTTCTTTCCTGTCTTTTTAATGACCTTTTACTTTCTTCCTATTGATGATGTTCTTAATGTCATCCCACAGCTCTTCTGGTCTTTGGTCATTAGTGTCTAATGGATCAAATTCATTCTTGAGATAGTCTCTAAATTCAGGTGGGATATGTTCAAGGTTATATTTTGATTCTCATGAGCTTGCTTTAATTTTCTTAAGCTTTAGCCTGAATTTGCATCTGAGCAACTGATGGTCTGTTCCACAATCTGCCCCGGCCTAGTTTTGACTCATGATATTAACACACACACACACATACTAACACACACACACACACACCCATCTCTTCCCACAAATATAGTCAGTATGATTCCTGTATATTCCATCTGGTAAAGTTCATGTGTATAGTTGCCTTTTATGTTACTTTAAAAAGGTATTTGCAATGAATAAGTCATTTTTCTTCCAAAATTCTATCATACAGTTTCTAGCATATTTTTTATTAACTAGGCCATATTTTCCAACTACTGATTCTTTCTCTTTGTTTCCAACCTTTGTGTTCCAATCACCATTAATTATCAATAAATCTTTATTCCATGTTTGATCAATTTCACATTGTCATGGTTGGTATAATTCTTCAATTTCATTATCACTGGCTTTAGTGGTTGGTGCATAAATTTGAATAATAGTGGTATTAACTGGTCCTCCTTATAGGTGTATGAATTTTATTCTATCACAGACAGCATTGTACTTCTAGATCTTGAAATGCTCTTTTTGACATGAATACAATGCCCTTGTTGTTTACGACATAGTATAATTGTGATCTTAAGTGACCAATACCAGTCCATTTCAGCTCACTGATGCCTAGGATGTCAATCTTTATGTGTTCCATTTAATTTTTGACAACTGCCAACTTTCCTAGAGTCATACTTTGTAGACTGCATGTTCTTATTATTAAAGGATGTTTGTGACTGTTCCTACTCATTTTGGGTTGTGCCCTATCACCAAATGAAGGTCTCAAAAGCTTTACTCCATTTGTGTCATCATGATCAACTCTGCTTTGAAGAGACGGCTCTTCCCAGTCATATCTTACATGCCTTTGAACCTGAGGGGCTCTTACGGCACTGTATCAAACAGTGTTCTGCTGCTACAGTAGCTAAGCATTCAGAAGTGGTCTGCCTCTCCTTCTTCCTAGTTTGTGTTAGTCTAGAAGCTTAGTCTGAAACCTGTCCGCACTGCTGGTATTTAAAATGCTGGTGGCATGGCTTCCAGCATCTCAGCAACATGTAAGCTGCCACAGTACAACAAATGGACTGACGAATGGTGATGGGAACCATTGTCTCTGTATATATCATCATTCCGCCTAGTGAATGCACTGCCTGGTACCATCCCCCTCATTTTTTAGTAAGCTCTTTTGGTCATCTCTTTGTATTAGTAGTTCTCTTTTCTGGTGAGTTCTAATCAGCACTCAAATAAGCTCCAAATTCCCTTTTGTTTTAAAAACCTATTACTGACTTCAGATTTCTTAAAAAAAAAAAAAAAGTCACTGTTTCTACTTTTTACCTCTTATTTGCATTTCAGCCAGATCTGAACTGGCTCTTCCCACTCAGGGAACTGGCTGTGTGTGTGTGTGTGAATTGAGTGAAGGTTTACAGAGCAGATCACCAGTTTTAAATTCAGCAAATCCTATACTTTGCTTTAATTACAGTGATTGCAATCCCCTCTCGTACCATCAGTTCACATTATTTACCTGCATTCACTTTAACTCTTGCATTCCCCCTTGTGTCTTCCACTACCTTCATGTTTCCTCTGCTAACCTCCCTCTTGTTGTATAGTGCCTCCCTGTCACTTGTGTTAAAATGTGCTACCCTATAGCCCATGAATTATTTTCCCCATCATAGATTGTTTCTTTTATTAAGAACATCTTTTCTTAACTTTTTACCACATTGGTCTCATACAATATTTGACCTTTTGTGACTAACTAGTTTCACTTACGATAACGTCTTCCAGGTTCATCCATGTTATGCAGTGTTTCTCAGATTCATTGTTATATTTCGGTGTACCACAGTATTCCATGGTGTGTGTACCATTTGTCTGTTGATGGGCATTTAGGCTCTCTTTTTGATGTGTCTCTTATAGACAGCAAATTGAAGGATCCTGTGTTACCCATACTGCTCCATCTCTTGACTGGTGCATTTATCCATTTACATTCAGTATAATTATTGATAGGTCTGAATGATTGCAGTCATTTTGCTCTGTGTTTTTTGTGGTCATGCTGGTGTCTTCTACTTCATTTTCTGTGCTGAGTTCATTTTGTTTGTGGGTTTTCTTTTCATTTTCATTTCTATTGTGTTAATGTTTGCTAAATCTTTCAGTTTTCCTCTTTTTTAAATATTTTGATTTTGGCAGTTCAAGCTCACCAGCTGCTCCTCAGAAACTCCATACAGGGTCACTATGGGTCGGAACTAACTCAACGGCACTTCACAACAACACTGTTATTAATTTTTTCCTGTCTAATAGTGGTATTTTATCTTTAAATCTACTTGACTTCCTTGCCATTTGAAAGTTCTATATCTATACTATTCCTTCTTTTTACTTTGTAATTACAGACTTTGTTATAAACTGATGTTTCTGGTTTCCTGTTTCCCATCTTGTAGCTTTGTTTTACTTTCAATATTTGTATATCTGGATTGAGTTTTGGGTGGTGTTATTATCATGAATGGTAATCTCAGGTTATTATCTGCTGTTGCTGGTTCTCAGTCCAAAGAACAACTCTTTGGCATTTTTTGTAAAGTTGGTCTGGTTATTACAAATTACTTTCATTTCTGCTGCTTGGCACATGTCCTAATTTTGCCATATTTGAGGGACAGTTTTGCTAGGTATAGGATTTTTGGTTGGCAATTCTTATCCTTCAGAGTTTCATATATGTCATCCCATTGCCTTTTGCCTGCATGGTTTCTGCTGAGAAATCAGTCTTACTGGTTCTCCTTTGTAGGTAACTTTTCATTTTTCCCATCTTACTCTCAGGTTTCTCTCCTTGTCTTTAGTTTTGGAAAGTTTGATTATGATATGTCTGGTGATTTTCTTTTGAGATGTGTCCTGCTCAGGATTTGTTCAACGTCTTGTATGATTATCTTCTCATCTTTCATGATATTAGAGAGGTTTTCTTCCAACAACTCTTTGACAATTTTATCTGTGATTTTTTATTGTCTCTTCCTGTTTTGGAATCCCAATCACCTGTTAGTTGTTTCTCTTAATGGTGTCCCACATGATTCTTAGGCTTGCTTCAGATTTTTTCATTCTTTTTTGATTGTTGTTCTATCATACTATTATTAAGAGATTTATCTTCAAGCTCACCAGTTTGGGCTTCCATTGCTTTGCCCTTTCAATGTATTGTCCACTTCTAAAATGTTAGTATGAATCTTCTGGATTTCTAATTGTAGGTTTTGTATTGTTTCAAAATTTGCTTTTATTTTGCCTGTTTGTTCTTGTAGTATTTTCCTGAATTATTCTAAATTTTTTCTCTGTCCTCCTTGCTTTTCTCGATCTTTCTGTCAATTCTTGTAAGGTACCTAAATATCATTCTTTTGAATTATTTCTCAATTAGTTCCATAACCTTTTCTTCCTTAGAAAACATTTTCTGCCTCTGCATCTCGGTCATTTGTCTGAGCCATTCTTTCTTGTTTCTTCATGTGAGCTAAAATTGACTGTTGTCTCCAGGCCATTGTGAGCTTGTTGTATTTCTGTTTAATTATGATTGTGTGTTGATGTGTTCTTCGACTCTCACCAGCTGTCTCCTGTAGGTATAGTTAGAGCATAGAAATGTATACAGTGTTCTTATTTGCCATTTGTGCACCTCACTTTAGGTTGCCTTTGGCTGGTGTTGGTTGCTACCTATCATCATCGTTCAGATGGTATGGTGGTGGTAGTTATGTGCCGTGGCATCAGTTCCGACTCATAGTGACCCAGGACAGGGTTTCTGAGGCTGTAAATCTTTACAGGAGCAGAAAGCCTCATCTTTCTCCCTTGGAACAGCTGATCGTTTCAAACTGCTGACCTTGAGGTTAGCAGCCTGACTCGTAACCACTATGCTACAGAGCTCCTTAGAAGCTGATATTAGCTCTTGCCCAGTGTGTGGAGTTCCAGAGGGTGTGGTTTAACTGGGTTGTATGGGCAAGGTTGTGTCTCCTGTTAAGTGAGAAAGAGCAAACTCCTCCTTTCCTCACACACGAGAAAAAGAGAAAAACAAACAAGGAATCAACAATGAAAAGAGAAAACGTCATTGTTGTTAAGTGTTGTGGAGTCCCTGCCTAGGGATTCTGAGGCTTTAAATCTTTGTGGGAGCAGAACACCTCATCTTTCTCTTGGGTAGTGGTTGGTGGGCTCCCACCACAAACCGTATGGTTCACAGTCCAGTGAGTGTGGCATGGAGCCACCGCGATCCTGAAAAGAGAAAAAATAAATAAGAACAGGCAGCAACCAGAAAAAAGAACATAAAAACTATAAAAACCAAAGAGGGACAGGGAATTGTAGCCCTGTCAGATGTCTGGTCCTTCCTGCTTTCCAATATACTGTGCTGCCTCTCCTCTCTAACCCACACCCCATTCTGTAATGTAAACACTGAGCTGTTTATATTAACTGAGATTTGTCTTCCTGCCTCCACCCAAAGGTTTTTTTTTCCTCCCTACTTCAACTCATCTTTCAAGATGCAGGAGCTTTCTTGGATTCTCCTAACCAGACTTTGTTCTTTTCATGTCGCCTAAAAGACAGAAACTTCTTTATCTTGGTGTTTTGTTTTGTTATAGTGTAGTATAGTATAGTGTATCCTTAATTCTTAAATACTGTTTATTTTCATCCAAATAAAAAGAAACCAATAGTACAAGGATTTGATACAAATGAACTGCAGCATTGTCCTACTCTACCTCTGAGTCCTGCTACCTGGAGACAACCATTTTCATCTGTCTCTCTTGGTGTTTCCTTCACTCTTTCTAAATAAAATAGATACACATGGTCATTATCTGATTTTCCATTGCAGACATCCTTGTTGACTTCCTGCTGAAAATTGATAAGTGTTCTGGCTCTCTCCAGTCTAATTAGTTAGCCTTTCCTTCCAGTCTGATGTCAATTTGTTTGTGGCTCTATTTGAGCACTTATGCAGTGTCTTGCACACTCATACAAAATAGTGGTTTCCCCCTCTGAGCCCTCAGCAACTATACGCTTTTCAAAGCCTCCAACTACATTGCTGCTGCACATCTGCACCCAGCAAATACAACCAAACCCACTGCCAGCGAGTTGATCCCGATTTGTTGCTACCCTGTAGGGCAGAGTAGAACTGCACCTTAGGGTTTCCCAGACTATAAATCTTTACAGGAGCAGACAGCCTCAGCTTTCCCCCAGGGGTGGATTTAAACCATTGGCCTTTCGGTTAGCAGCCCAGCACTTAACCCACTGTGCCACCAGTGCTCCCTTCAACATACAGGGAGCTTCAAAATAGTTCATAGAAAAATTCCATTCTTTTTCACTTCCATTTTTCCTCAAACTTTTAAAAACTTCTTCATAGTACCTAGCTCATAATGGAAATGTTATGTTTTGTTTTTTAAGTATATATATGCTTTTTTTTAAATTTAATTTAATTTTATTTTTTAATTTAAGGTTTTTATTGTGGATTGAGTGAAAGTTTACAGGGCACATCATCAGTTTCACATTCAACAATTCATATAACTTGTTTCATTACTTTAAATGCTTTTTGACTGAACAAATGAATTGTTATTTTTACCCCCGCTATTTAGCGTATGTTTAGTTGTATTGGACAGAAGATTTTAAGATACTTCAATTCAAAGCTTAGGCCCTCTGCAAGCCCCACTCCATGAATTCAACCCTAAGGATAACAGGACGCTTGTGAGAATGAAGATGTTATGATTCACAAGCCTGCCTTTGTCATTAAAGGGTGTAACTTTAGCTAACCAGTACTTCCACTCATGGAGTAGGCTGAGAGGAGGCAGAGAAAGGAACTGTTCCAAGTCCACGAGCTACAAAGTCAAACGGCTTTTCCTATTTGGTGCCATCAGTGTCTTTAGTACTCCAGACTCTGAGAGCCTCCTGAGACACTGAGTGGCACCCTGTCTGTTCTACCACAGAGCCGTCATCCTGGCATGCTCAGCCCCTGCTCTGTCCATCAGAGCCACGCAAGTCTTTAAATGGTCACTTCTTTTTTGTGGACAGTGCCATCAGTTATAAAGTGGTCTATGATCTTTTGTTTTACAGACTTAGAATGCATGTATCTTCCACTTCTCTTTCCCTAGGCAATGGCAGCAGATAAAAGTGATGAGTGGTTTGCCAAACAAAATAAACCCAAGGCTTCAGGTTAACAGCGACATCATTTGGAACAAGCAGTTGTGACTCCGGTTCAGACCCTGTGAGAGCCTACTGTGTCTATCTGTGATAAATGCCCCTACTACGTTATTCTGTCCTGGATGGGCCAGGAGGCCAATGTGATGAAGATTGGTGATTTCCAATTTTTGCAGCTCTGACACATTACCGATATGAAATCCTGTGATTATTGGTCTAAGTAGAGGTGAACTGTAGAGCTGTAATCTGCTGCTTTGTCACTGGAATAACACATTCTGTATGCAGTTATATTAATAACAAATGATTGTGCAGAGATGGAACAGCTAGATGGAACCTTACCCTTGGTTGGGGATATAGGGAATTTTGATGAGCTGTGAATCATGTAAAATTTATGAAAGCTCAACTGTTCAGATAAATTCACATCAATTGTTTGTAACAGGAATATTTTCATCACCTATGAAGAATCATTATTACGGCAATCCAGAGTCTTATTTTGTCAGGTCTTGACTTCTTAAAAATGTTATTGGAAATTTTGTTCCTTGGATCAGAAGGTTTGGTTGACACCCTCGTACTCACTGGAAACGTTGAGTGACCAGAGAAAACACACAAGGAAGATTGAATGTGTTAAGTGTTGCCACATACCTAGCTCTGCACTAGTGTCTTTTAATATTTTCTTATAGATTTCTCTTTGATTCTTTGCAAGTAGATTTTAATAGCTGGAAACAGAAGATACTAGGTTGTTGTTATGTACAGTCGAATCCATTTTTTTACTTATAGTAATCTATGTGACAAGGAGCGCTGGTAGCATAGTAGTTACGAATCGCGCTGTTAACCTCAAGGTCGACAGTTCGAAACTACCAGATGTTCCGCAGGAGAAAGATGAGGCTTTCTGCCCCCGTAAAGATTTACTGCCTTGGAAACCCTGTACAGGGTCGCTATGAGTCGGAACCGACTCCACGTACGTAACAACAACAACAACAACAACACTCTGTGTGTAGAGCTGCCCCACAGGGTTTTCTGGGCTATAATCTTTATGGGAACAGATTGCCAACCTGTTGGTTAGCAGCCAAGTGCTTAACAATTGTATTACCAGGTCTATTTGGGCATGTTGTTGTTAATTGCTGTTGAGTTAGTTCCAACTCATAGTGACCCTGTGTAAGGTGTTTCTAAGGAGCACCTGGTGGGCTTGAACCACCGACCTCTTGGTTCAAACTGACCTTGTGGTCTAGTGCTTTATCCTGTAGTGCTACACCAATAATGGCCATATCCATTATTAATTTTTTTGTATGTTTGCTTCTGATATCAAGTTACTACACCAGCCTTTGAGACTTTGAGATTCATTATTTCAATGATTGGTGACAGGTTCCATTTTAAGGAAGAAATTGAAGGGAATTGACCCAGAGCATGTGAGTTTCAGAATAACATATAAAATTATTTCTTAATCATAACTTCAGCTGTTCTCCTTTGCTGGCAGGGTGGAACATGGACTTTTCTGGGAGAGTTTCAGCTCACTGTATTAAAAGGGTAATCTTACTTTCACGAGAGAGAAGAATCTTCACATAGTTCCATACTTCCCATTCAACTTTAAATTCTTAGGGACGCAATCACAAATTTCAAAGCAAACCAAACCAAGTTATTATACATACTCTTCCTCTAGGTAATTGGTTAACTTCCTATATACATGGGCAAATTATTTTAAATGAATTTTGAATAGTCAGATAAACTTCTTGGTCTGTACAATGATTTATGAATTCTCATATGTTTCTATTAAATAATTCTTGAGGTTTATCTCTGTAATACTACCTCTGTTGGGGTTGAGGGAAAACCAGCTTTTTCCAGTGTAATAGGCTTCTGTATGACATGGCCTTGTAAGTTTGTTATAGTAAAATCAGTGATGTGTGTAAGAGCAGAATGAGTAAATAACACATAGTCAATTCTTCCTTATCAGCTTATTTTTGTAACACATTAAAAAAGTTTTTTCTTTTAAACACACAGCCATGCATGATAGAGAGTGCTGTGCTTTGTCCACCTGGTACATTTTGGTCTTAAGATATCAGCTTCCTTTTATTTATCTCATTGCCTACCTCTTCTTCTCTACTTGTGATCCTCTAACATTTTATTCTTCCTAAAACCATTTAGTATATAAGTTTGGACTTTTTATAAAAAGAATTCAGAGGTTTAACTACTACATAGTTCAGCTACCATGAAAGTAATTTTAAAGCAAAAGTTATCATTATACCTACTTCTCACTTATCAACTCTCTCGTTATCCCAACATTTCGTGTGTACATTAGTGGAAACTTCGGTCCAACTATTTTGCACATTAAAGGTATGTCTGACAGTAAGGAACCCAAAAGTACTAGGTGAAAATAATGCTTACTGTGATGGTTATGTGTCAGCGTGGCTGGACCATGATGCTTAGAGATTTGGCAGTTATGTAGTATGGTCACCTGCCATTTTTCATAACATCAGTTTTCACATAACATTGTTTTTGAAACCTAACAATAAGTGAGGAGTGATGTACTTTCCTGCCTCTGGGGATGATGTAATGTCAACTAGAAAAAGATATTAAAAAATAGTTTTGCAAAACTGTTTTTCTAGGCTGTTGTAACTGGTGAATTTGGAAAGCTCTAGTTTCTCTAGCTCTATTTCTAGCATAGCCATTTTGTTACTTTGAGGGTTCTCCAATTCTAGTATCACATGCATGTTCAAATGGGCATTGAGTTTAAGTCCAGAGAGGTGTGGAATGTTACACGAGAGTGAACTGTGTGAAATCCATGTCTGCCTGACAGCTTGGTGAAAGTAGCAAAGCCTTTGGACAGTTTGATGTAATACTTCCTACCCATCTCACTTATTACATAATGCCATTGTGGTTTAGCAGCCAGAGTTTTCTGGAGGCCTTCAACTTGTCTACTGAAATTGGTAAGAGTTAATAGGAAGTTTCCCCATTTGGTCTAAGACTTCTTACCTTGATTTTGTTAGAAATCAACAGGAAATTTACTCTGACTTTAATGACTAATAAAGAAGTATCCTTACCTCAGATCTTTTTATTATATAATAGTCATATGGTTCAAATATCAAAACAACATAAGATACATATTTAAAAGTCTTGGCTCTTACCTCTGTATCCCCATTCTATTTTTCCTGCCTCACCTTCCCCCAGGGTAAGCACTTTATTAAGCAAATGCAAAAATATATTTTAATCATACACACACACAAAGAAGCATATACATTATATCTTTTTTTTTTTTTTAAATAAAAAATGCATCTTAGAGATCTTGTCTCAGTGCATGGAGAATTTCTTCTATGGAAATTGACATGCCACATTTTACTACTAGAAGCTTAGGATGTTTCCAGTGTTGTGATTCCAAACAAAACTACCTCGAGTAATCATAGGCCTTTTTTCCTTGCATCTCATTGTGCTTTTCACATTAAAACTTATCTTTCAAAATTGTTCTCTTACACATCCAATCTTAAAACAAACACCACTGCTTTTCATTCTATATTCACCTCATTCATTTCTTCTGTGGAACTGAGACATCCTAGATTTTCAGTGCCTTCCCCCATGTGGTAACTATGTAATTAGTCTGAGATAGTGTGATTCATCTGGTGGAAAGCAGACTCCCTTCCCCCTCACTATAACTAAGTGAATACTTGACAGTATGGGGTTTGGGTTAGTCACAGCTACCAGCCAGAGGAAACGTGATAAGAACTACTTAGAAAAGGGAAGAGGGAAACTAAGGCGTATAGTTTTTTGTTTTTTTAAACTTTTTATTGTGAATTGAATGTTTATAGAGTACATCGTCAGTTTTACATGCAACAATTCATACACTTCATTTCATCTCAATGATTGCAGTCTCCTCCATACAACAGTTATCCCATTTCCTCCCTGTGATTCATTCATACATTCCTCCCGCCTTCCCAATCATTCTGAACTTTGTCCTTAGATGAATGTTGCCCTTTTGATAATTCTGTGGGGAACATACCTTACCAGTGTTGTTGATCCCCATATATACTTAACTACTGATTGGCTGAAAATGGGGCCATGAGGGTGAGTTCCATTCCAGACCTAAAAGGTGGCCGAGGGCTGGGTTCTTTCGATCTTTTTCTGACCAGTAAGCCCAGTCTTTTTTAAAATATTGAGTTGTGTTTCACATTTTCTTTCACTGTATCCATGACCTTCTAATGTGTTCCCATTTAGAGCAGTTGGGAGTGGTAGCCAGGCACCATCTAACTCTTCTGGTCTCAAAGTTGTGGAGATTGATACATGTTCCATTAGTCCATTGGACTCATTTATAACAAGCATCTTCAATTTTCATCATTTTGAACTCCATACATGAAGAGACCAATAGTTCCACCTTAGATGGCGCTCATGAGTTTTTAAGTTCCCATCCATACTCATAGCAAAGTAGGATGTAGAACATTGTCTTTGGGGACTGTGTTAAATAAACTGACAATGGCAATCCCCTGAGACTGTGGTCCTTTGCTCCCAGGACCAGCATCATTTTGCCCCTTATGTGCTCTATACAGCGTAGTGGTTACGAATTGGGCTGCTAATCTTACAGCCATCAGTTCGAAACTACCAGCTGTTCAATAGGAGAAAGATGAGGTGCTCTGCTCCTGTAAAGATTTACAGCCTCAGAAACCCTATGCTGGGTCACTATGAGTCAGAACTGACTCCATAGCACATAACAGCAACAACAACAACAACATGCTCTGTACTCCTGGTGGGACGCTGTAGGATCAGTACTGTACTGAGAAAGAAACACAATGTTGGTAGAGTTCAAACCCACCAGCTGCTCCTTGGAAACCCAATAGAGGGTCACTATGAGTCGGAACCAACTTGATGGCACTTAACAACAATGCTCTGTACCATAAGCCCTGGACTGAACCACAAGGTCAGTGGTTTAAATCCCAGCTGCTCTGCAGGAGAAAGATGAGGCTTTCTATTCCTGCAAAGATTTACAGCCTTGGAAACCCTACACCAGCGTTACTACGAGTTGGAACCCACGTAACAGAACTTACCAGCAACATGACCCACCGCATTCATAGATGTGTTTGCAGCAAAGGTAAATACCCATGTAGAGATATCCTTTGACAGCCATTATGTATTTGTGGGTATGCACCCACACTCCCTCCCATACCTGTTCAGCCTGTGTATCTGTCCATGTATTTACCCATAGAACACTGTTGTTGCAGGACTGTGTATATAACAGTATTTACCTCTGTCCCCTTTAACCCTTGCACTTCTCCTTTTGTCTTCACCTATCTTCATCATTCTGCCCACCTCCCTTTTGTATTTTTCCTTCCCCGTCACCCAAGTTAAACATGTCTACCCTCTAACTCATTTGGTCTGGTCCTGCCAAGGCAACCAAAGTTTCAGTCATCACATTAGGTGTCAATGTAGCAGGCTAATTCTTAAATTGGTAATTTTGTATGGTTCACAAATGATGTTACTAATTTTGGCAGAAAAAATGTTCCCCTCCCCTGCTCTAGCTGTGAATTACTCTCTACTCCTGTCCTGGTAATCATCAAAGAATGTTTCTTTTAGCAGGAAAACCTTGAGTTTTTACAACAATGGTCACATACAATATTTGCCCTTTTGTGATTGACCCATTTCACACAACATAATGTCCTGTTCATCCATATTATGAGGCATTCACAGATTCCTCAGTGTTACATAGTATTCCATTGTATGTCAAAGCTGATTTTTAGGCTTCCCTTTTTTTTAAATTTTTGACAAGATTTTATTGTTTTTAAAGGTAGAAAAGAGGGTTTCATGAAGGACAGGTTCCTGAGATAAGGCTGGGTTAGGTCTTCTGTTTTTAGGCATTTGTTTTTATATAACTATAGAAGAAACCACAAGTGTTTTCTAGTCCTAATACAAAGAACAGAGTCGATGCAGTAGACACTAATGACCGGAGATGAGAAGAGCTATGAGATAACATCAAGAACATCATACAGGAATAAAGTAAAAGGTCATTAATAAGACAAATCAGAAGGATATGACCAAAATGGATGTCAGAAGACACTTTGAAACTTGCTCACCAATGTAGAGATGCTAAAGCAAATGGAAAAAATGAGGAACTAAGAATTGAACATAAAATTCCAAAGGGCAGCTCAAGAAGATAAAATATTATAATGAAATGTGCAAAGACCTGGAGTTAGAAAACCCAACGGGAAGAACATGCTTCAGCATCTCAAGCTAAAAGAACTAAAGGACAAATTTAAGCCTTGAGTTGCAATATCGAAGGATTCTATGGACAAAATACTAAATGATGCAGAAAGCATCAAAAGAAAATGTAAGGAATACAGAGTCACTGTACCAAAACAAAATGGATGGTGTTTGACCATTTCAATAGAGAATACATGATCAAGAGTCAATGGTACTGAAGGGAGCAGTCCAAGGTGCACTGAAGGCATTGGCAAAGAATAAGGATCTGGGAATTGATGGGATACAAGTAGGAATCTTTCAACAAACTGAGGCAGTACTGGAGGCACTGGCTCATCTTTGCCAAGAAATTTGAAAAACCACTATATGGCCAATTAATTGAAAGAGATTCGTAATTGTGCATATTCCAAAGAGAGATGACCTAATGGAATGTGGAAATCATTGGACAGTATCATTAATATCACTTGCAAGTAAAATTTTGCTAAAGGTAATTCCAAAACAGTTGCAACAGTACATTGACGGGGAACTGCCAGAGGTTCAAGCCAGATTCAGATGAAGACATGGAACAAGGGATATCATTGTTGACATCAGATGGATCTTGGCTGAACGAGAATACCAGAAAGATGTTTGCTTGTGCTTTATTGCCTACACAAAGACTTTCAACTGTGTGGGTCATGATAAACTAGGGACAACATTGCAGAGAATGAGTATTCCCGAACACTTAATTATGCTCATGAGGAACCTATACATAGACCAAGAGGCATTCTTTCAAACAGAACAAGGGGACATTGAATGGTTTAAAATTAGGAAAGATGAGAGTTCATTTTCCTTCGGTACTGTTGGGTTAGTGAATCAAATCTTGAGAGATGAAGGGACCACTGCATCCCTGGAGAATGGTTTCACTGACCTCAGATCTTAGAAATGTTCATAGTACTGTTCTCCCCCAGCCCTCTACTCTTGCTAAGTATCAACATAGACTCTGGCAATAAGAATGTGTGGAATCTATTATTCTGAACCCTACAAAAAGTTTTGATGCAATTTTGTCTAGAGGAGAGGTAAATTTTCTCAATTTTGGACACTTTCCCAGGACTTTCCCAGGCACTCTGAGTTTCTGTCTTTCTCAACTGCAAACAATCTCTTGTGCAGTTTTAGTGGTTTATTGATGCCTCTGGGAAAACTGCTACTGCTTCAGGCCACGCCCGTCAATGTCTTCTAGATCTTAAGAAGCCCTTTTCCAACCAGACAAGCCACAATCTACCCCCCTAACCAGCCTCATTTTTCTTTAGGTCTTCCACTTTGGCAATATAGACTCTCATGGCGTCCATCTTGGTCATCCCTTTGTTCTGGTTCCACGCATCCCATTTAGCTTTGGCTTTTATGTCTGTAGCAGGAGGGGCGGGGATGTTGCAGTCGCCCTGGGTGGCCTGTTTGTAGTAGCTGTACACCAACAGTTTCTCCTGATCACTCACAGGACGCTTTAGCTCCTTGATAGCCGCGCAGGCTAGCTCAAACTCCACTTGGCCCATTGGTGTAGTGGACAGTGCTAGGAGATTCAGAAGGTGGAGCGTTAGTTAGAAATACTTGAAGGCTGAATATTAACTCTAGAAAGAAGTTGTTGTTGTTAAGTCATTTCGGACCCATAGTGACCCTGTATGGGGTTTCTGAGGAGTGATTGGTGAGATTGAACCTCGGCCCTTACAGTTCAACCCAACGAAGAGACAGGAGGAAATAGGGCCACGGTTCTATGTAGGGAGCAGAACATCGCATATGTCCTTTATATGTTTTCTCAGGGAGAAATAAAATCTGTGCTTTTATACAGATTGCAAACTGGCAACGCACTGGGTTGGATCTACCCCACAGTTGTTTCCTTTTGGGTTTGTTTGGCTAACATCGTCATTTTCTGGGGAGAACAATGCCATCAAAATTTCAAAGCCATCTAAACTCAATTAAAATTGAGGTCAGCTGTCTAAGGAAGGCGGTGTGGGATGAGAAGCATTGGGACATTTGTGATACTGGAAGATGCATTGTGGGACAGGAAGCCCTTGAGTGTGGCGGGTCGGTTTATACAGATTAGTAGATAGCCTGGGAAGAGGCATTCAGTAGGACTGAGCTGTGGGTGGGGGTTAATATGGGCCAGTGGTATTCAGGAAACAGGCTGAACAGGGTCCTGGGCAAATGAGTGACTGAGTAAAGCCCATTTGAGGTGAGCCGCCGAGGTTGGGGCACCTAGCGTGGGAGGGAGGTGCGTGTACCTGCTACTTGGTTGGTGGGAGGTGTCTGACCTACAAGAGTGCAGCGGGATTCACGCCGCGGTAGCTTTGATGGGACTCGCGCGTGCGCATTGAGCGGAGGAGGTTGGCCACTGTCTGTGAGGAAGTGGGCGGGAACTGAGGCACGGGTTCCCATGCCCCGCCCCTGACCCGCCCATTGTGGCGTGACGCCTGCGCCGCATTGACGGCCGCTGAGGGGGAGGGGCGGCCTCGCGCCGCCGCCGCCGCCGCCGCCATGGATCTAGGTGGGTGACCTGATCTCCGTGTCCCGGGTTGCCCCGATTACGTTCCGCAACAGGGTACTAGGGCAGTGCTGCCTCGCCGGCTCCATTCCGTTAAGCACGCTTGTGTTGGCTCCGACCAAAAATAACTCTCAAAACCTCCGGCTGGGGAAGAGGCTTTGGAGGGAGGGGGTGTCCTTGGAAACCTGGATTGGGAGGCCGGGCTCTACGCTAAGTCTGGCCGTTGCGTGGCGCGTCTCTTGCCCTCTCCGGACTCCTTTCTACATGAAAAGCCAGGCAAATATAAAGTTAGATTTCCTGAAAGTAGAAAGTGTTGGTGCACGTGGTTTGGAAAATACGGGCGTGAAGGCCTCGGGGAGCTCATGGATGCCTTTACTGGTGTACTTATTGAACGTGTACTAAGTTTTTGGGCAAGTTTCTGACCATCATGTTTTTTCATCGATAAAATGTGATTATAATGTATGTACTTGATAGTGCTTTTGAGTTCACGTGTATACAGTGTCCGGGACAGTGGCTTCTGCATAGCAAGCGTTCATCAAATGTGCGGTTGTAGGAAGGATTGCAGCTGAAATGGTACCTTTGAACCAACGGGCATCTAGATTCAGAACCTTCTTAAGGCATGGTTGGAAAAGGGAAGGGGGAAGTAGGTATAAATTGCTTACTTCTCAAGCCTCCTTCCTACCATATGTTCTTAAGGGTTGGACCGGTTGCAGTAGACACATCCCTGCCTCTGTTATGTCACTTTATAGTTGTGGTACCTGAGCAAATGAAATGTGCCTAGGCCTCAGTGTTCCCATGTCTAAAACTCTAGTAATTGTCCTCCAAAGGTGGTTTTGAAGATGAAAAGACTGGTGTGTACTGCCCAGCACAGTTCCTCCCAGTATAGCAGTGGGCACCCCCAAGTACCTGGTAGCCATTTTGCTGAAATATTTAGAATTCACCCAGCTGTTAAATGCTGGGGGCCTGGGGCAGATATTACATTTAGTAGCACTTGTGTGTACTATTATCTCTGGAAGGCAGTTGCATTGGGAACCAAGTTTCTGATAAGCTGTAAATTAAAATTAGAGTCACAGGAACCATATTTTGGGGTCCTGGGGAAGCCTCTTGCATTGGTTTTAGGGTTCCCCTCTGGGCAGACAGCTCCAAGAGACACATTTCAGCACTAACTTTCCTCCTGAGCTTTAGGCGTGAATTTCCCATTACTGGAGGACACCTCTACCTTAACATTTTACCTCAGACTTCAAATAACCCAAACTGAACTTGTCTTACCACCTCTAAAACTGTTCAGATTCTCCTCTGTTGCATATTTCCAGTGGTGCACCTTTGACCGCCCAGTTCAAGGCTAGAGAGCACACGAGTCATTTTTTATTCCTGTCTCTCTCTCTGACTCTGCAGTGTGGCTTACAATCATCCCCTCCTCTTCTCCCATTGGTCTCAACTAGAACCCTTGTCTTCTCTAACTCTAATGATGACAGCCGACTTAGATGCTGCCCTTCCCTCTAACTTCTCACTATTTTGAAAAACGTCACCAAATTCTTTCTCATTTGGCTTCTCTCCAAGCAGGACCCCTGAACATCTGTGAAGAAATAACTGTTCTACATGGGGGCTTCTTGCTGGCTGAGCAGCTGTTCCGCCCCAAAGCACTAGCAGAATTGACCAAGTCTGACTGGGAACATGTTGGGCAGCCCATTGTGGAGGCCTTGAAGGAGATCTCATCCACAGCATGCTCCCATCCCTTTGCCTGGAAAAAGAAAGCTCTGATCATCATCTGGGCCAAGATTCTTCAGCCTTGCCCTGCCACTGCTGCTGACATGGAAACCCGGTGGCAGGAAGATGTGTTTTTCTCAGTAGGCAACATGCTCCCTACTATCAACCATGCAGTTCTTTTTGAGTTGCTCAAGTCCCTGGAAGCTTCTGGACTCTTCATCCAGCTCCTGATGGCCCTGCCCACCACCATCTGCCGTGTAGAACTAGAGCGCTTTTTGGAGCACATGACTATTGACACTTCTTCAAAGGATGTGGCCTTCTTCCTAGATATCTGGTGGGAAATGATGAAGCACAAGGGCAATCAACAAGACCCCTTGCTCTCCCAGTTTAGGACAATGGCCAATAAGTACTTGTCCTCTTCAGATGAATTCTGCCACCCTCCAAAGAGGTTTAAGTCAGACCCAGATGTCTGTCCTACCATGCCCCTATTGGCGATGTTGCTCAACGGACTGAAGCAGATCCAGAATAAGATCTTGTGTCCTGGCATGAAGTGCTGTGCGCTAGCCAACTTGGCCGACATGCTGACAGTATTTGCACTGGTGGAGGATGACCCCCAGGAACTGTCTGCAACTGTGTATCTGGACAAACTGGCCACCGTGATCACCGTGTGGAATTCAGACACCCAGAACCCATACCACCAACAGGCACTGGCAGAGAAGGTCAAAGAGGCAGAGCGGGATGTCAGCCTGAACTCTCTGGCCAGGCTGCCCACAGAGACGCTCTTTGTGGGCTTTGAGTACCTACACAGCCTGCTGCGGGAGTGGGGAGAGGAGCTGCAGGCTGTGCTTAACAGCAGCCAGGGCACAAATTACGATAGCTACCGGCTGTGTGACAGTTTGACTTCCTTCAGTCAGAAGTTGGAGCTCTACCTGGATACCAGCACCTTGTCTAAGGAAGAGCGGCAGGTGGTTTCTGAATTGGCAGAGTGTGTCAAGGACTTCCTGAGGAAAACCAGCAGGGTACTCAAAGGCAAGGACTCGGAGAAGGACATCACCGCTTCAATCGCCATGGCCATTATCGAGCAGAAGATGGACCGGCATATGGAAATGTGCTATGTGTTTGCGTCTGAGAAGAAGTGGGCCTTCTCCGATGAGTGGCTTACCTGCCTGGTTAACAACAGGGCCCTCTTCCAAGAGCCGGGCTTGGTGTTAAAGCTGTTGGAAACCGTGATGGAAGTCAGCACATCTGACAGAGCCATCCCTGAGTCTCAAATTAAACAAGTGGTTGACTTGATCCTGGAATGTTACGCAGACCTCTCGTTGCCAGACAAAAACAAAGTTCTCTCGGGTGTCCTCCATTCCTGCGGGCGCAGGGGCCTCTCTGAGAAGTTGCAGGCGTACTTAGAGGGTTTTCAGGAAGACCTCAATACCACTTTTAACCAGCTCACACAGAGTGCCTCTGAACAAGGCTTGGCTAAAGCCGTGGCTTCTGTGTCCCGGCTGGTGATACTGCACCCTGAAATCACAGTAAAGAAAATATGCAGCATGGCTGTGGTCAATCTTGGCACCCACAAATTCCTGGCTCAAATTCTCAGTGCTTTCCCTGCCCTCCAGTTCACCGAAGAGGAGGGTCCAGTCCTCCCCACCACATTTGTGGTGTCATGCCTCAAAGAGACGGTCTGGAGGAAGCTCTCAACACCCAAAGAAGAAAAGCAATTTTTGGAGTTCCTGAGCTGTCTGATGAGCCCTGTGAAGCCCCAGGGCATTCCAGTCGCTGCTCTTCTCCAGCCAGATGAAGTGCTCAAGGAATTTGTCCTGCCTTTCCTAATGCTAGATGTGGAAGAGGTAGACCTCAGCCTGAAGATCTTCATCCAGACTCTAGAAGGAAATGTGGGCTCAGAGGAATACTGGCTCCAGACCTGCTTCCCATTCCCCCTCATTTTCAGCTTGTGCCAACTCCTCGATTGCTACAGCAAGTACTGGCAGCTCCCCAAGGAAAAGCGGCACCTTTCTTTAGACGCGAAGGATCTGGTAATCCACATCCTAATACTTCTCTGTGAGATCGTGCTGGCTAACATCGAGACCTTCTCCCCCGATACCTGGACCAAGTCCCTGTCCTGGCTCCACCGGAAGTTAGAGCAGCTAGACTGGACTGTGGGCCTGCGGCTGAAGAATTTCTTTGAGGGCCACTTCAAGTGTGAGGTGCCAGCCACCCTTTTCGAGATTTGTAAACTCTCCGATGGGGAGTGGACCTCCCAACCCCACCCAGGGTATGGGCCAGGCACAGGGCTTCTGGCCTGGATGGAGTGCTGCTGTATCTCCAGGAGCATCTGTGAGCACATGCTCTCCCTCTTGGTGGTAGACGTGGGCAATCCAGAGGAGGTCAGACTATTCAGCAAGGGCTTTCTGGTGGCCTTGGTGCAAATCATGCCTTGGTGCAGCCCTCAGGAATGGCAGTACCTTCACCAGCTGACCAGGAGACTATTGGAGAAACAGCTCCTCCATGTCCCGTACAGCCTGGAATACATCCAGTTTGTTCCCCTGCTCAACCTGAAGCCCCTTGCCCAGGAGCTCCAGCTCTCCGTGCTCTTCTTGAGAGTTTTCCAGTTTCTCTGCAGCCAGAGTTGTCGCAATTGGCTTCCGATAGAGGGCTGGAGCCACGTGGTCAAGCTCCTCTGTAGCAGTCTGACCAACCTCCTGGATTCAATTAGGTCGATCCAGTCAGTAGGCCCGTGGGCCCAAGGACAAGAGCAGGACCTGACTCAGGAAGCCCTGTTTGTTTATACCCAGATATTCTGCCATGTTCTGCACATCATGGCCATGCTCCACCAAGAAGTGTGTGAACCACTGTATGTCTTGGCCTTGGAAGTCCTCACTTGCTATGAAACCTTGAGCAAGGCCAATCGTTCTGTTACTTCCTTGCTCCAGAAGGTGAATGAGCAGCGCTTCTTAAAGTCCATCGCTGAGAACATTAGTCCTGAGGAACGACGTCACACCTTGCTGCAGAAGATCAGCAACTTCTGATTGTTGCAAATTAGAAAAAGCAGCTGAGCCTCAATAGGGTGGGTCTGTAAGGGCTAGAGCTGAGAAGCTCAAACTTTACAATGTGTCTTTGTACATCAGATAAAAAGTATATGGCAATAACAGTGTAAAGAAAATAGTTTCTTAGGTATTTATAACATACAAATTGTAATAAAATTCTCCTTTGAGTTTCAGCTCATTTTTCTCTCATCACTAGTGTAGGCCTCTGACAGTAGGCTCCTACCACGTCTCCCTACCCATGGTCATTAGGTCGATTCCCACTCATGGCAACCCCACGTGTTACAGAGTTGAATTGCTTTAGGGCTTTCGTTAACCTTTATGGAAGCAGTTCATCGGACTTTCTTCTGTAATGCTACTGGGTGGGTTTGAACCACTAACCTGTCAAGCATGAATCATGTACCAACCAAGGCACTTTACCTCGACCCTAGAAGTTGCCAAGTAAGCCTAAAGGTAAAATCACCCAAGTGGAGAAAAATGATTGCTGTTTTTTTGTTTTGTTTTGTGTTTTACATTGAGTTCCTTTTCAAGAGTCATTTTAACATTTTGATATTTTTCATGAGGTGTCTTGGAAAGGGCAGCAACATGGAAAAGAGCTTTTATAAGGGGACTTTAATCATATTCTAGCCCTGGCACTATCACCATCTAGTCATGTGATTTGTGTGCATAAGAGGCTGACATTGTAAGAATGAAGATTGGACCAAGAAAAATAGCATTAAAGGGGGAGGTTAACCATCTCAAGAAAACAGGAGTCTTATGAATAGAAGGCTCATAACTCCATACTGTTTTAACTCCACTCTGACTCCTTAAAACTAGGTCTGGTCATTTAAGACACAGTTAAGAATGGGTGTCATCTGCTTAGAGTGGGGCTGTCATGGTTTTGTAGAAAGGAATAGGGAATGGTGTGTGCAGCAAAAGATATGAAAGTTGTTCAGGACATAATCCAGAAATTACAGGAGTTGATTGGCATGATATCTATTTTAGGGGATGAGAGGGTAAAGGCTATGCCCACTTCCTTCAAACTCACACCTTCATTTGAAATGGAGCATTGCTCAGACTTCCTCCCCACCAACTCTTAATGAGGAAAAGAAGACAGGGTCTAAGTTGCATGTGGCCACTGGGCTTTAATTCTGAAACCAAGAACTAAAAACATTTGGTTCAGGTGTGAGTTTGGCCCTCCTGGAGGCTGAAGCACCCTTGCCCCTGCCAGTTTCATGAAAATGAATGCTGACCACAAGTCAGAACAGCTGGTGACAGGCACAGGTTTGTTCTTATCAGAAGTTGGTATTTGTGTGTTTAACAAATGAGAGTAAGTTGGGATATGGCAGTATAGGTAGCCTCCACACTTTTAAAAGTTCACCTTGCACCATTTTTTGGGAGACCTAGATTAGCACCTGTTTTTGATAACTAAAAGAAACCTGAAGAGGATTTTTGCTTTTACAAAAAAAGAAAAAGCGAAATTAGTGTTCATTGTTTTGCATCAAGTGGTTAGAGTCATTAAGCACCCTGATTAGCAAGAGAACCAAGCTCCTCTGGGAACTACATTTAGCAAGCTTTGCACTGTGTGCCTTCAAGTCAGTTCTGGCTCATAGTGATCCTAGGGTTTCTGATTAGCAAGAGAACCAAGCTCCTCTGGGAACTACATTCAGCAAGCTTTGCACTGTGTGCCTTCAAGTCAGTTCTGGCTCATAGTGATCCTAGGGTTTCTGAGGAGCAGCTAGTAAGTTTGAACTGCCGACCTTGTGGTTAGTAACCTAGTGCTTATCATCGTTACCACATGTGGGAGCTTCAGAAATGCATGGAAAAAATGCAAAGATAATGAATGTTCTGAAGCCCCCTCAGGTGTGGGACAATGCACTAGACCGCAAGGTCAGTTTGAACTGCAAGGTTGGTGGTTCAAATTCACCACGAGTCTCTCTCGGAAACCCTATACAGGGTCGCTATGAGTCAGAATCAACTTGACGGCACCTAACAACATGTTAGTGTGGATTCCGCTTTTGTGTTTTTTGGTAAGATTTAGTAGGTTATTTTTTGGTCTGTGAAGGCTCAAAAATGTCCCATATAAATAAATGACACTTGCTTCCTCACTTGACTGTTTTGGCTTATGCAAGTTTTCAGAGGAATGCTCTACTTGTGGATATAGAAGGGGGCACCTGGATTTCATGCAATTTAGTCAGCAGAGGGGTGATAATAAAGGTATGATTGTTGTTAGGTGCCATCGAGTCGATTCCAACCCATAGCAACCCTGATTAGGGTTTCCGAGGAGCAGCTGGTAAGCTTGAACCACTGACCTTGCAGTTTAAAATGGCTTTGCAGTCTGGCGAATTAACCCGCAGCACCATAGTAAAGAGGAAAATGACAGCATTTGACATTTTAAAAATGGCACCCATTAATGACTGAAACACGAGAATTTGAGACATAATTCAGCACTTTAAAAATTCATGAATAATGAATAAAAAGTCTCTGTAAAAATTCTAGTTTTCACTACCACTTGAAAAAACTTCATGGTAGCAGTTTCTAAAACCCACCCTTGTTGATAAGGAATGGTTAGTGTTGACACCGGAGGATCCTATTCGCAAATGGTGAGTGGAGGGTTTATAGGTGACTCTGTAGGACAGGATGTCTTTCGGCCAGGGCTGTCTGCATTCTTGCTCTCAGAATGAGCTTTGGATGACAAGCTCGGCTTATTAGGTGGCCCTGTGCAAGCACTCTGAAGTCTTGAGACATTTCATGGTTTGCAGAACAGAAGTCTATTTCCACTTCATTTGAAAAGGACAGTGGCCCAGAGTGGCATTACCCAGTAAGTCGCTACTGAAGTCATCATTCCATCCCCCCCGCCCCCTATACTTTGATGACAGAGTTGAAGGCATGTGGATATGGGGAGAGTGAGCCTGAGGGAACTGTTGTTAACAAGCTCACAAGTTTAACACTGGTCTTCATACCAAGTCAGCCCATAAAGGTAGTGTTGACTGTTTGGCATCCCTACCTTACTCAAATGCTTCAGGTTCCCATCATTGTCCACTTACCCCTGCAGTGACTTCTGACAGAACTCAGCAGACATAAGACTTCAACGTTGGCACATGGATGAGAGGATGAGGCAAAGCACCAATGAGTCATTCATAACCTTAATAAACAAAAAGCCCTACCTACCCACAATGACTTTTCAGGCCAACGTTGCAAGAAAACATTAAGAACCAAAATCATCGTTGCTTCAGCTGGCCCAGTATGTCTGAATACTTTTCCCTGATTGGTTAGCTGTGCATATGTAGGAGGCTGATGCCAGTATGTAGGGCCGGGCAGATACCCAGACATTCATCATCCTGGTCCACCTACGTCACACCCCATGCTTGAACCTTCCAGAGCCCTTGAGATAAGACCCAAGGAAGACTCCTTGAGCTTGCATTTCAACCACCTTGCTGCTGCCAGTGGAGGTCGAACAGGATCAAATAGTTGTTACTAAGAAAAAAGTGCTTTTGCAAAAAGGGCAGGTTAGAAGAGGGAGGTAATATGAATATTCTTTAGGAAAACTCAAACCCATCTGCTTATGAATACTCAAAGGCTGAGACCAGCCAGGGCCCAATTTGGTCCATGGAATACTGAGTGGAGAAGGCAGCTAGTGTGAGGAGGGCACTGTTACTGCCTGATTCCTGGCAGCAGTTAACTCTCCTTTTTGTCTTTGGGAGCATCAAAGAGGTGGGCTGCCTTTCTGCACAGCAGCGAGAACCAGTAGATCTGGGGAGCGATGAGGAAGGCGTTGGCCACGTTGCAGTGGAAAGGGATATGGAAGGGCACTTGGAACAGGCTCAGTCCTTGCTGTTGGCCGTAGGACCAGTACATAAAGGGAAAAAGAAGGATCCGACAGGAAAGAAAGGTGGCCAGAGTGAGGACTCCATTCACCTTGTACAGCAGGGTGTGCTGCTGCCTTAGCTGCAAAAGAAGAGGAGAGAACGCAAGGTCACCAAGAGGTTGGAGCATCAGGGCATGATTAGCAACTCCTGGTTCAGGCCAAGCAGGGACAGGTACTAACTGTTGTGTTGTTGACCCAACTCATAGTAACCCATGCACAACAGGATCAGACCGTCGTGATCCATAGGGTCTTCACTGGCTGATTTTGAGAAGTAGATTTCCAGGCCTTTCTTCCTCACCCATCTGAGTGTAGCAGCTCTGCTGAAACCTGTCCCACATCAGAGCAACATGAAAGCTTCCAATATCACATGGGTGACGGCTGTGCATGAGGTCAGTTGTCTGAGAATCGAACCTAGGTCTCCTGCATGGAAGGGGACCATTCTCCCACTGTTACATTCTTTGACACCTAGATATAATCTAGTTCTCTGACGCTTGCAGAAAAGATTATTGTGCACCGCCATATTTATGAATGCATAGAGCTTTGTCGTTTTTCCAATAAGGAAGCTGCATTTGGCCTAAGCCACTCAGCTGACTGGAGTACAGAAACAGTGGGTCAGAGCAAACAATCTGTGGCCAGAAATAAAATTGACAATGAACCTTAGCAACTTGGAGTCAACCTGTAATTTCATTCTGCATTGGCTCCAATGACCTATTAACCTTCAAGTCTGTAGAAAGGATTCTGAACACTTAGGAATTTCTCCAAGCCCATAATCCACTGAGGAAAAGCAAAATCCATTCCCTCCCACACGATGCTTGCCATTTCACTCATACATGCCTGAATCAGAACTCTACCCAGCGACACAAACGGAGTACTCAGCTCAGCCGTGAAGATGCAGCCAACAAAGAAGTCCCCCAGGTCTCCCCTGAGCCTCTGCATAGGAAAAAGGGAAATGAGAAAAGGAGGGTAAGAAACCATAGAAACATTCTAACTAGTGGTATTGGTAAGGGTAACCATGAGGGACCCTGATGGGAAAGGGAAATGCAGAGTGAGCAAATGGAGACTCAGTTAATACTCTACTGTGTCTATAGCAAGTAGTACTTGGACGGCAGCCCTCAGATCCAGAGGCAAATTCAGATGT